CGTGGCGGTGGGACTTGTACGCGGCAGCAGGAAGTGATCTAGTGGTCGCGCTCCCTCACTCGGGGTCACAAATCGCCCGTGTGGATTATCGGCGCAAGGAGAGTGCAGGATTCCTATTGTTAACTATAAAACACTACGCCGAGACGCTCATCGCACCTGGCAAGGAACAGCGACAAATAAGTTATCAAAGTAAGTGTAAATAAATTAGGAACAAGCAGTTACCCAACGGAACGACACATCATACGAGTACATGATTATTCGTTATTCATTAAAATATTGCAATAAAAGGACCTCACTTCAGCAATGTCGATAGAATACCGACAGAATAACTAAACCCAAATATTCATAATACATACTGTCTTAAGCCCATACAGTAACCTCAGACCAACTTCAACACTAAGTTAAGAGTGCAACCAAGTAATTTCGTCCTTGCGAACCATTAAGCGATCTTTCAATCCCACGAGAATACTAAAACGACCGCGGAATGTGCTCGGGAACCGCTACGTGTCCCCGAATTTCACGCCAAGCGGAACATCCGGAGGGCATTCGCACGTGCATCCTTCAGCCAGGGCATTCGTAAAGCCACAACGCCTCCCGCAAGCCAAAGACCAGGGTTGTTCCTGGGAGTGAGAAGCGACCCTTGAAACCGACAGGCGTTTCTAGGGAATCAGATCCTCTTGAGAGGCCTTGAGAAACGTGCCCGTCTAGTGACCGAGGATGAGGGAATAAGTGAGGAATGAAGTGGAGCAAAATAGAAGAAGAAACGGAAGATTTAGGAAACGACATGAACACGTCGGGGAATGTTGCGTCCGCGTACGACCATGTCGAAGCGAGGGAAAGGCAGTGCCGGTAGATATGATGGGCGACATGTCCACGCGAGGGTAGGCAACAGGCCGTAAAAGTGAGAGCGTGTGTGTGTGCGTGTACGTACTTACATGCCTGAGCGTGGAAAGGTGGGAGGGCGACCCAGGGGGAGGCACAGATCACCACCAGCCGTTGTCTGTTACACAAACACCCCGGGGGAAACTACTTTACCACTTTCATCGGTCACACTTGTTTCTCCGACAGAAGCACATCTGTCGTCGCAATGCATTTGTTATCGCGTTCGTACACGCGCCCAGAAGCACGCATATACGTATGCACACACATATATACATATACATAAACAGACACAAAGATAAGCGGTCCAGTGAACACATACTGTACGCATACTCGTGCACCCACACATATATCTCCAAGAGTCTTTAAAAAGCAATCTGCGCAGGCGATTATCGACCTTAGCGCCAGTCGCCTCAAACCACAGGCCTCGTTCGGCTCATCTTTGTCTGCGACTTCTTGCTGCACATGACAATACACAGAAGAGAGAGCGTGTTATGAGTGACATAACTGTCATCTGCGTTGCCATCATTAGTATCGCTAGGATTATTGTCACATCGTAATGATTCTATCCACCTGTGCTGCGATCTCTTCTTCACCATACTCGCCTGTATTATTTTTCTTAATGTTCTTCTTCCCACGATTGCGTAATGGTTACAGTCAACCCAAGAGACGATGAGTTCGACTTCCTTTACATCACCAGAGCGCTCTCCGCCGTCCACCTGCCGTCGCCACACCAACCACAACGGCAAGACCAAGTCGCGGCTGCCTCCCATACGCCGTCAGAATGGAAAGTCCGCCGCAAATGGGCACTCGAAACACTTCAGCAGTAATTGATTTTCTCGACAATATTCGCGGCCATGTGCTGAGAGGATTACGGAGAGTGACTTTGCGTGTTCGACGAAAATCCGCCCTCATCCCGGAGTCACGTTGCAAAGTCGCAAATTAGGACAGAAAGAACACTAATGAAGCGCCGATGATTAAGAGTGCGTTCCTGTTGGATTAATGAAGTGTTTGTCTTTGACCCGGTAAGTTTGGACGGGAAAAAGGAGGAAAAGATGCAGGAAGTCAGAGAGAGAGAGAGAGAGAGAGAGAGAGAGAGAGAGAGAGAGAGAGAGAGAGAGAGAGAGAGAGAGAGAGAGGGGGGGGGGGTGATAATAAGAGGAGAGAGGAGAGAGGAGAGAGAGGGCAGGGGGGGGGAGATAAAGAGAGAGGAGAGAGAGGAAGAGAAAGAGAAAGAGAGAGGAGATAGAGGAAGAGGAAGAGGAAGAGGAAGAGAGAGGAGAGAGGGGAACAGAAAGAGAGAGGAGAGGAGAGGAGAGGAGAGGAGAGAGTGGGGGGAGGGGGGGAGAAAGAATGAAAGAAAGAAAGAGAGAGAGGAGAGAGAGATGAGAGAGGCGAGGGGAAGGGAGGGAGAGAGGGAGAGAGGGAGAGAAGGAGGGGGAGGGGGAGAGGGGGAGAGAGGGAGAGAAGGAGGGGGAGGGGGAGAGAGGGAGAGAAGGAGGGGGAGGGGGAGAGAAGAGAGATATATATATATATATATATATATATATATATATATATATATATATAGAGAGAGAGAGAGAGAGAGAGAGAGAGAGAGAGAGAGAGAGAGAGAGAGGGAAGAGGGGAAAGAGCGGGGAGGAAGAGACAGAGACAGAGGGAGAGGGGGGGGGGGAGAGAAACATATACAACAGAGAGAAAGAAAGAGAGGGAAAGAGAAAGGCGGAGGGAGAGAGCGCGAGAGGATAATAAGGAACGATAAGAGGTTGGAATACCGCCAGGCACCGCAGACGATGCGTCACACGTCTTCCCTTATCGCCCAGTCGCGTTGTATCTCCCAAGCACGTGTGTTTATGCTTCCTCCCTCCCGGCCCCTGTCTCTTTGTTATCATATCTCCCTCATACCGTTTTGCTATCGCGCTCTGCCCTCCCGAATCGCCCTTGCCAGCAGCGCCTCACTGGGCTCTTCACTCACAATGCGATTGAAGTAGGCCATCAACGGCAGAGCGCGGCCGGGCTTTGTCTCGCTGCGGCGCGGGGCGGCCTGGCGCGGGGCGGCCCTCGCTGCACCGCCCGCCGCTCGCCGCCTTCGTGGCTCCCGCACTTGGCGGTGAGGAAGTTCCCTCTTTCTGACACTTCCCGCAGTTACAACTTTCCACACTATTTAACGTCAAAATATTTTTTTATATAAACACATACAAACACATATATGTGTGTGTGTGTGTGTGTGTGTGTGTGTGTGTGTATATATATATATAATATGTATAATATATATGTATAATATATATATATATATAATATATATATACACATATATATATATATATATATATTTCATATATATATGATATATAAAAATCATATTATATATAGATAGATAGATAGACCTATAGATACACGAAGAGATAGTTCGACATACAGACAAACTACACAGACATACAGTTCTAAACAGACAAAGAACAGAAGAAAAAGAGGGACAGGAGGAGGGCGGGCAGGTGTTCCGATGATAGAGAGAGGGGACTCGGCGCCTGTTGACTTAGGCCTAAAGGAACGGCCAGCGGATCAGGAAAAGGACAGAGAAGAACTCGGGAGGACTGCATTAAGGGAAATAAAACAGAGGGAAAGAAAATACTGTGACAAAGGGAGGAAATAAAACTAATGCAGAAAACACAACATGAAAGGAAGAGAGAAAGGCAGGCAGGGAGGGAGGGAAGGAGATGGGAGAGGGTCGGACGGAATGGAGGGGGAGAGGGAGGGAAGATGGGAGGGAGAGAAGGAGAGCGAGAGAGATGGGGGGGGGGAGGGATCACCAACTCGTAAATAATTTGTCAAACAATACAGCGCGCGAATAATAAGTCTCGGCACAATACGGTCTAACGAACTATTCAAAGAACATCCAGAAGAAGATGGAGAAGAGGAAGAAGAAAAAAGAATATTACTTCCGATCAGCATCCACGACAGCGCTCCAACACGCGCCGAGACAAACAACAAAACCAGGAGAAACGGGGGCGGCGGGCGGAAGGTGGGCTGGGGTGGGCATGGGTGGGCTGGGGTGGGCATGGGTGGGCCGGGATGGGGATCGTCCTTGTGGTGCCCGCCCGAGGCCGCCAAGATCCCCGGTGAGTGGGGCAGGAAGTGCTGTGTGGTCACGCCGGATAATGGTGACACAGTAACACATAAAGCTACGAACGAACACGAGTAAATTATGGGCAGACATAGTCATTTATTCACAATCACCCTCTCTGTTTCACTCTCTTACGCCCTTCCCCTTCTGTTTTATATTGGAAAAACAAATACACATACTGACAGAATCTCTCTCTCTCTCTCTCTCTCTCTCTCTCTCTCTCTCTCTCTCTCTCTCTCTCTCTCTCTCTCTCTCTCTCTCTCGGACATGTGTAAACTATGAGCAGACACACTATTACACTCACCTTCTATGTTATACTCTTTCACCTCCACCCCCCCCCTCGCCCTCTCTCCCCCTCTCTCTTCTCTGGTACTTCACGTGACCGCATTTAGCGATCAATGAACAAACAATATAGGGTGCGGGATCGTGCAGAGCTCTCAAATAAAATGTTTACCCACGTCAATCACGAGAGTTCGTCGTCCAGCATTCCGGCCGAAGAGGATTTATTTACAAAACAAACGGCGATGATTGGCGAATCGCTTCCTCCCCCCCCCTTCCCCTCCCTCGTTCCTACCCCCCTGGTCAATTTTTTTTTTCCTGGAAGCGATTTCAACTGATCTGCATATCATAAAATGGCAAGTGAATGCTGTGTTAACAGAGATTCGTAAAAAATTATCTTTTATTTTTTTCAGCAGAAGTAAAACCCATGGCGGTGATAATTAATGCGGATCTCGGGTTATAACCGATCATTTGCACAAAATCCACTTCTTTCGAGCATAATAATTCGTACTGAATTCATCTGGGCTCACGTGGAAAAAGGCAAATTAAATTATTCCCCACACTAATGTCTATCTATTCATATGTATGTATGTATACATAGATATATACATATATACATACATACATACATACATACATACACACACACACACACACACACACACACACACACACACACACATATATATATATATATATATATATATATATATATATATATATATATATATATATATAAACTAAGTCACTAAGACTTCTAGAAAAAAAATAAAAACAAAATCTAACGGGGATCCTAAGCCTTTAACCAAACCTCGACGAGCTTCCTTCCGTCTTGGAGGAGGAGGAGGAGGAAGAGGAGGAGGAAAGAGAGAGAAAAAAAGAAAACGGAGATCTTTTGAGAAATGCC